TCATAAGACAAGGTGAAAGGTGAAAGTCGGAATGACTGACACTGAGAAGGATGTGATTTTGGTGGAAATGAGTGTGTGCGTTATGTTAAAGATAGAACTGGTATCTTACAAGAGGGCAAGTTGGGTAGTTCAGATGTTTTTGTTTGCAGAATGGACTCTAGCTGACAAGCAGCCAGAAACTAGATTCTGCCAACCATTACAATGATCTTGGTAGTAGGTACCTCCATAGAAACTTCTAATAAGAGGGTACCCCAGGCAACACCATGATTCCAGGCATGTGAGTGTCTAGTAGACAAGCAAACCTGGATATCTGAGCTGCCAAACTGGGAGATGATGAATGGGTTCTGTTCTAAGTCGCTGTGCACAGTAAAGGTAGATGCCAGGCAGGCCCATTGTGGGCAAGTTTCCATGTGTATGGGGTGGTTGTGGTAAAAGGGCTATTCATCTTTTGAATGACTTTTTAGATGCCCCCAGCTTTCAAATCTGTTTGTTGTGCTACTGTTTTAGCTAAAGCTCTTAGAGAAACTTTCAGTCTGTGACTCATTCACTTCAGCTGACCTTGACTATACTTTACTGATTATTGTACTAAATTCTCCACCTAGAGGCAGTTGGCAGGGTTTTTGTTTTGTTTTTTAACATGTGATATATGATCTCTGATCTCAATCATATGATACATGTCTTATAATGTGTTGGGCTTCAAAGCAGCAGTTCTGAGAATGTCCTCTTTGAAGGCCAAGAACATTGGACAGAGTTCTGTTTCCTGGTTTCTTATTACCTCTTAGCCTTGCCTGGAAGCTCAGCAGGAGGGAGTGACTGAGACAGAGAGGAGGTTACTAGATGCCTCCTATTGGGTAACCTACAGGACTGACCAACGTATTCCCCTCCTTATACCTCACACCAGTTTCTTTTCAAAGTTCTTAAAAATATGCCCAGAGTAGCATCTTGATGGTCCTCTGTCCCTGGAGACCCACTCTTCCTCTATATGGAACTATTCATTATTTCTTTTAAGCTAGCTCTAACAAAATACTTCTTCCTAAAACTTGCCTTCTGTGACCCATGAACTTTGCTCTTCAAATTTTAAGACACAAACTAGAAAGTCAGTGGCTTTGGTGGCTCTTGAGTTTTCCATGACACTAGCCCTCCAAGGCTAAGCTCATCAAGAACTTGTTCAATTAATAAACCTCTTTTCACTTTTTTTTTACCTGGTTGTGGTCATCCTTTTCTGACTCATCAAGACTGAATCTACTGCCTATAGCCATAGTAAATTTTTAAGCAACAAAAGAAAGTGAATATTCTCGTGTTGCAAATATTAGACCTCCTTTGTACTTGTAGTTACTAAAAGACATTATAGAACAAGAAGGTTTTGTTCTGTTTTGTTTTGATAAAGGGTTTCTCTGTGTTGCTCTGGCTGTCCTAGAACTCACTCTGTAGACCAGGCTGACACTGAACTCACAGAGATCCATCTGTCTCTGCCTCTGCCTCATGAGTACTGGGATTATTGGTGTTTATCACCACTGTTTAGTCCCATAGGTTTTGTAGACACAAACTATTTAAATGTATCTTTGAACTTTTATTAGTTGTATGATTTGGGGAAGTTAAAAAAAAACAAAAACAAAGCAAAACAAAAAAAATCATCTTCCTTTTGATGTGGGAGTGTCATATATCAATCTGTTGATTTCATTGGTTAAGCAATAAAGAAACTGCTTGGCCCTGATAGGTTAAAAGATAGGTGGGAGGAGTAAACAGAACAGAATGCTGGGAGGAAGAGGAAGTGAGCTCAGAGAGACGCCATGCTCCCCTCTCCAGGGCGGACGTGAGAGCTCTACTCTCCGAGGCAAACGCGATGAAGCTCCGACCCAGGATGGACATAGGCTAGAATCTTTCCCGGTAAGACCGGTGCTACAGTTTATTAGAGATGGGTTGATCAGGAATCAGAATTAGCTAGTAAGGGCTAAAACTAATGGGCCAAGCAGTGTTTAAATGAATACAGTTTGTGTGTTGTTATTTCGGGGCATAAGCTAGCCAAGCAGCCGGGGTGCCGGGGACTCAGCCCCACCGCTCCTATTACAGCATCCTTTCCTAGAGTGGCACTCCATGGCAGAGTTGTAAATCTTTTTGTATGTGCACATGATCCTAGGTTTTATCTCTAGTAGTACCAGAAAAAACAACCACCCCTTCTTCAGTTTCAATGTATCACTCTGTAATATGGAAATCCTAATGCCTTACCACAAAGGAACACTACAGCTAAATTAAATTATGAATATAAAAGTGTTTACTTACAGCTTTCAATTATTTCATAAGTTCCTTTGGTTATGCCCATTTCAACAGTAGTATAGCAATATTTTTGCCTTCCCATTTGCACAAATTCTCCCAGTATCACTGAACGAGTTTTAGACAGCCACCCCCAAAATCCACCGCAAGAAGCTAACTCTTAAATTCCACTGTAAGAGGCCAAAGTATACTATCCATAATTAGCCTCTTTCCTGTAACCATTTTGCTGAGCCAATCCTTTTGGAAAACACAAGACACGAGGGAAGCTGTGAAAAGCAAATGAAAAAATCAAAGTCTTGGGGCTGGAGAGATGTCTCAGTGGTTAAGAGCATTAACCACATGGTGGCTCACAACCATCTGTAATGAGGTCTGGTGCCCTCTTCTGGCCTGCAGGCATACACACAGACAGAATACTATATACAAAATAAATAAATAAATATAAAAAAATCAAAGCCTCCCTCTTATGAGAGAAATGTGTACATCTGCAAAGGTAATCTCCATTTAGAAGTGTTTCCCCTTCGTGCCCTACAAAAAGAAGGATAAGTAATACATGTAGATCTCATTTTCTATTCTTTTCCTGACTATCTCCCTGAACAGGCCTTTCCCCAAATCTGTTTATTTCAGGGAGAATGATATTTAAGTACAAAATCTAACAGACCATGTTCAAGTCTGTCCTTACTGTAGGGACCCTCATTACCTACCACTTGTACAGCACACAGTCATGTTATGAAACTTCTGTTTCTCTTATGCTCGCATTTCAACATTTTTTTACAGGAATCTATATCAAATAACATCTAAGAAAGGGTAAAGGAACATAGAATTCTTGCCTCCCTGATACCAAGTCTTGCTACTATTGCTGCTAAAATAGAATACTGAAATTCATCTAGCTTGTCTAGCAGACCCTATAATTGCACACAAGAGTTTCCAATCTTAAAATTGAAATGAAGACAAAAATCTAAATAGTTCTGATTTCCCCAGTGACAATTCTTGTAGATAAAAACAGCCAGTTTAGATGCAAAATTATATTGAAGATATAACATCAGAATATGATATATAAAAGTCTTAGAAGTAAAAGTAAATCCAAGCCAAGCAGTCATAATAAAGAGTTTTCTAATTCTGATTAGGATTATTTACACAAATTGATTGTTTTCAAAGTCAGATTTTAAGGGCTCTAGGCTAGATGATAACATAACATTAAATATAAACCCAATGCCAGTTTTCATATTTTCCCCTTAAGAATTATACAAAGTCTGTCTAAAGTTACCTGCCAGAGCTATCATCACTTTCAGCAGAGCTCCTATAGCCTTCTTCTATCATCTAAATGGAAAAAAAGTTGAAACAAATTATTGAAATGACATCTTTATTCAGTACAAGGTGTTGTTTTTAATCTAAATTGCAACTCTCAGCATTTAAATGACAATATTCCCTTTGCCTGGTTCTTAATACTGTTAGCTCTGGCCTTGGTCATCTTGTAAAGTGTCTTCATCTTGTTTAACCATGGCAATTCCCAAACTAAAGTGACTCAATTCCTAGAACTAAAGTAAACTGCTTTTCTAGTTTCTTGCCGAAACTATGCTTTCCAATCCCCGTAGTGGCTAGCCAAGATCCTCTGACACTATCTTCACACAAACTGGTAACTCTTAGCAGTAGCCACCCTGTAACTATTTGTGTCTAAGGGTATCACAGGCTCTCTAGTCTCTTGAACTAGCGATCTCCCTAGTACATGTCTTTTCCCAAATATATCCCATGCTGTTATGGAGTCACCCAGCCCCTTGTTTGCTTTTCATTCTCTTTTAAAGTTCTTTTATCTCCTTTTTTTATTAAGAATTTGAAAAATACAATCTTTTCTCACTTTATATAACTATCGCCATTCCCACTTCCCCAACTTCTCCTACTTCCTCCACCTTCCCCTGACCCCACCTCCCCAATCAATCCTCAGAAAGAGCAAGCCTTCCCATAGGGAGTCATCAAGTCTGACACTTCACTTCGAGGCGAAACCCAGGCCCTCCCTCTATATCTAGACTGAGCAAGATATCCTTCCAAAAAGAATGTGCTCATAGATGTCAGTTCAAGCATTATGGATGAATTCTTGTTCCACTGCCAGTGGCCCCACAGTCTGTCCAAGCCTCACAACTGTCCCCCAAATTCAGTGGGTCTAGTTTGGTTCTATGCAGGTTTTCCCACTATCAGTCCAGAGTCACATTACTACTGTAACACTCAATTTCTGAGATTGTATACATTTACAAGAATGTCATAGGCAGTGTGCTCTTAGAGGTAAATCAGTCAAAGCCTTCTTAACATGTTGGAAAACTGCAGTTGAGAAGAATCAAGTGACTTCCCCCAAGGCCTTATAGTAGTGATTCAGAGGACTGTCTTGAATTTAAGCTCTCTCTGTCTGAACTTCCCAAATGCTGGAAACTTAGGTGTCTGCCACCATGCCCAGCTCTGAGGACAATTAAAAAGCAGTTCTATATTTATGGCTAGAAACCAAATATGCTGTAAGACTGGAAACAATTTTTGTAAGCATATATAACATGGCATATGGCTTCTTTGTACACTGATAATGCTAACTTTTTGAGTTTTTAAACTCATGAAAATAATCATTAATACAAATAAATGCCAAATTTTCAAAGAACCAAAATGACACAAAAGGAAAGCCTAATTAAATGAAAACATTACATAAAACCACACAGATTTTTGAGGTAGAAAGTAGAAATCATTACACTTACCCCTCTATTGATATTAATTAGCTCATTTCTCTGCTGTTCCTGATCCAATAAGTATTCAGTCATTTCTCTTATTGAAGAAAATCTGATATTCATCATAAAGGGTGAAAATTCAGAAAAATAATTTTTTACCAAAACATATCATTGACAGATTATTCAACATCTGTGAATGATTTATTCAATTTTAAATATGTATATATGCTTTTCTCTCGAGGTATGCACATGGAGATCCCAGAAGACGGCACCAAGTGTTCTCCATAATCACTTTCCACATATTGTTTTTTTTCTTTTTTTATTGAGAAAAGGAGAAAAAAAAACAAGTTTCCACCTCCTCCCAGCCTCCCATTTCCCTCCCCCTCCTCCCCCCCTACGGCCCCTCCTCCCAACCTTCTCCCCCTCCCCCCACTCCTTTCCCCCTCCCTCTCCAGTCCAAAGAGCAGTCAGGGTTTTCTGCCCTGTGGTAAGACCTAGGACTTCCCACCTCTGTCCATATCTAGGAAGGTGAACATCCAAACAGGCTGGGCTCCCACAAAGCCATCACATTACTTAGGATCAAACCCCCGTGCCATTGTCCTTTGCGTCTCATCAGCCCTCATTGTTCGCCATGTTCAGAGAGTCCGGTTTTATCCCATGCTTTTTCAGTCACAGTCCAGCCGGTCTTGGTGAGCTCTCAATAGATCAGCTCCACTGTCTCAGTGGGTGGGTGCATCCCTCGTGGTCCCGACTTCTTTGCTCATGTTCTCCCTCCTTCTGCTGCTCATTGGGACTTTGGGAGCTCAGTCCAGTGCTCCAGTGTGGGTCTCTGTCTCTATCTCCATCCATCACCAGATGAAGGTTCTATGATGATATGCAAGATATTCGTCAGTATTGCTCAAGGATAGGGTCATTTCAGGTTCCCTATTCTCAACTGCCCAAGGAACTAACTGGGGACCTCAGCTTGGGCACCTGGGAGCCCCTCTAGGGTCAGGTCTCTTGCCAACCCTAAAGTGGTTCCCTTAACTAAGAATTGTGGTTCCGTGCTCCCCTGTCCAACCTTCCTTTATCCCAATCCTCCTGCTTTCCCAAGGCCCGACCTCCTTCCCTTCTAACTTTTCTCTCCCCATCTCCCCTTACCCCCAACCCACCCCACCCCAAGATCCCAATTTTCTCCCCGGCAATTTTGACTACTTCCCTTAGCCAAGAGGATAACTATATGTTTTTCCTTGGGTTCCCCTTCTTACTTACCTTCTTTAGATTCACCTATTGTAGACTCCGTGACCCTTATTTATGGTTAGAAACCAATTATGAGTGAGTACATCCCATGTTCATCTTTTTGGGTCTGGGATACCTCACTCAGGATAGTGTTTTCTATTTCCATCCATTTGCATGCAAAATTCGAGAAGTCATTGTTTTTTACCGCAGCGTAGTACTCTAGCATGTATATATTCCATACTTTCTTCATCCATTCTTCCACTGAAGGGCATCTAGGTTGTTTTCAGGTTCTGGCTATTACAAATAATACTGCTATGAACATAGTTGAACAAATGCTTTTGTCATATGATAGGGCATCTCTTGGGTATATTCCCAAGAGTGGTATTGCTGGGTCCAGGGGTAGGTTGATCCCGAATTTCCTAAGAAACCGAAACACTGACTTCCATAGGGGTTGCACAAGATTGAATTCCCACCAGCAATGGATGAGGGTACCCCTTCCTCCACAACCTCTCCAGCAAAGGTTATCGTTGGTGTTTTTGAATTTAGCCATTCTCACAGGTGTAAGATGATATCTCAAAGTTGTTTTGATTTGCATTTCCCTGATTGCTAAGGAAGTTGAGCATGACCTTAAGTGTCTTTTGGCCATTTGAACTTCTTCTGTTGAGAATTCTCTATTCAGATCAGTGCCCCATTTTTTTTAATTTTTTTTATTGCGAAAAGAAGAAAAAAAATATAAACAAAAACAAGTTTCCACCTCCTCCCAGCCTCCCATTTCCCTTCCCCTCCTCCCACCCTTCTCCCCCTCCTCCCACCCTTCTCCCCCTCCCCCCACTCCTTCCTCCCCCCCTCTCCAGTCCACAGAGCAGTCCGGGTTCCCTGCCTTGTGGTAAGTCCTAGGTCCTCCCCCCTCCGTCCATATCTAGGAAGGTGAACATCCAAACTGGCTAGGCTCCCACAAAGCCAGCACATTAAGTAGGATCAAAACCCCGTGCCATTGTCCTTGGTGTCTCATCAGCCCTCATTGTTCACCATGTTCAGAGAGTCCGGTTTTATCCCATGCTTTTTCAGTCACAGTCCAGCTGGCCTTGGTGAGCTCCCAGTAGATCAGCTCCACTGTCTCAGTGGGTGGGTGCACCCCTCGTGGTCCCGACTTCTTTGCTCATGTTCTCCCTCCTTCTGCTCCTCCTTGGGACCTTGGGAGCTCAGTCCAGTGCTCCTGTGTGGGTCTCTGTCTCTATCTCTATCCATCACCAGATGAAGATTCTATGATGATATGCAAGATATTCGTCAGTATTGCTCTAGGATAGGGTCATTTCAGGTTCCCAATCCTCAGCTGCACAAGGAACTAACTGGGAACCTCATCTTGGGCACTAGGGAGCCCCTCTAGGGTCAAGTCTCTTGCCAACCCTAAACTGCAGTGCCCCATTTTTTAATTGGGTTAATTAGCATTTTAAAGTCTAGTTTCTTGAGTTCTCTATATATTTTGGAGATCAGACCTTTGTCTGTTGCGGGGTTGGTGAAGATCTTCTCCCAGTCAGTAGGTTGCCTTTGTGTCTTAGTGACAGTGTCCTTTGCTTTGCAGAAGCTTCTCAGTTTTAGTAGGTCCCATTTATTCAATGTTGCTCTTAATGTCTGTGCTTCTGGGGTTATACATAGGAAGCAATCTCCTGTGCCCATCTGTTGTAGGGTATTTCCCACTTTCTCTTCTATCCTTTTCAGTGTGTTCGGGCTGATATTGAGGTCTTTAATCCATTTGGACTTGAGTTTTGTGCACGGTGAAAGATGTGGGTCTATTTTCATTCTTCTACAGGTTGACATCCAGTTGTGCCAGCACCATTTGTTGAAGATGCTTTCTTTCTTCCATTGTATACTTTTAGCTCCTTTATCAAAAAGGAGGTGTTCATAGGTTTGTGGGTTAAAATCCGGGTCTTCTATACGATTCCATTGGTCGACTTCTCTGTTTTTATGCCAGTACCACACTGTTTTCATTACTGTAGCTCTGTAATAGAGTTTGAAGTCAGGGATGGTAATGCCTCCAGAAGATCCTTTATTGTATAGGATTGTTTTGGCTATCCTGGGTTTTTTATTTTTCCATATAAAGTTGATTATTGTCCTCTCCAGATCTGTGAAGAATTTTGATGGGATCTTGATGGGGATTGCATTGAATCTATAAATTGCCTTAGGTAGAATTGCCATTTTTACTATGTTGATCCTCCCAATCCAAGAGCAAGGTAGATCCATCCATTTTTTGGTATCCTCTTCAATTTCTTTCTTCAATGCCTTAAAGTTCTTGTCAAATAGATCTTTCACTTCCTTGGTTAGATTTACCACAAGATATTTAATGCTGTTTGTGGCTATCGTGAATGGTGAAGCTTCTCTGATTTCCGTCTCTGCTTCCCTATCCTTTGTGTATAAGAGGGCGACTGATTTTTTGGAGTTGATCTTGTATCCTGCCACATTACTAAAGCTGTTTATCAGCTGTAAAAGTTCTTTGGTGGAGTTTTGGGGGTAGCTTATGAACACTATCATATCATCTGCGAATAACGAAAGTTTAACTTCTTCCTTTCCAATTTGAATCCCCTTGATCCCATTATGTTGTCTTATTGCTATTGCTAGAACTTCAAGTACTATATTGAAGAGGTATGGAGAGAGTGGACATCCTTGTCGTGTTCCTGAGTTAAGTGGGATGGCTTTGAGTTTCTCTCCATTTAATTTGATGTTATCTGTCGGCTTGCTGTATATAGCTTTTATTATATTTAGGTATGACCCTTGTATCCCTAATCTCTCCAAGACTTTTAACATAAATGGATGTTGAATTTTGTCGAATGCTTTTTCAGCATCTAATGAAATGATCATATGGTTTTTTTATTTCAGTTTATTTATATGCTGGATTACATTGATAGATTTTCGTATGTTGAACCAGGTTATTTATATGCTGGATTACATTGATAGATTTTCGTATGTTGAACCAGCCCTGCATCTCAGGAATCAAGCGTACTTGGTCATAATGGATAATTTTCCTCATGTGTTCTTGGATTCGATTTGCCAGTATTTTGTTGAGGATTTTTGCGTCGATGTTCATGAGTGAGATTGGCCTGTAATTCTCTTTCCTGGTTGATTCTTTGTGTGGTTTTGGTATCAGAGTAACTGTAGCTTCATAAAAGGAATTAGGTAATGATCCTTCTGTTTCTATATTGTGGAATACATTAAGGAGAATGAGTATTAGCTCTTCTTGGAAGTTCTGGTAGAATTCCGCATTGAAACCATCTGGTCCTGGGCTTTTTTTGGTAGGGAGGTTTTTGATAACAGCTTCTAATTCTTCGCGACCAACAGGTCTGTTTAGATTGTTCACCTGGTCCTGGTGTAACTTTGGTATATGGTATTTATCTAAAAAAGTGTCCATTTCTTTTACATTTTCCAGTTTTGTGTTATACAGGCTTTTGTAATATGATCTGATGATTCTCTGAATTTCCTCTGTGTCTGTGGTTATGTCCCCCTTTTCATTTCTGATCTTATTAATTTGCGTATTCTCTCTCTGTCGTTTGATTAGTGTGGATAGTGGTTTATCAATATTGTTGATTTTCTCCAGGAACCAGCTTTTTGTTTCATTGATTCTTTGTATTGTTTTCTGTGTTTCTATTTTGTTGATTTCAGCCCTCAGTTTGATTATTTCCAATCTTCTACTCCTCCTTGGTGAGTTTGCTTCTTTTTTTTCTAGAGCTTTCAGGTGGGCTGTTAAGTCTTCAATATGTGCTTTCTCTGTTTTAAGTGGGCACTTGGTGCGATGAACTTTCCTCTCAGGACTGCTTTCATAGTGTCCCATAAGTTCGAGTATGTTGTTTCTTTATTTTCATTGAATTCAAGGAAGACTTTAATTTCTTTCTTTATTTCTTCCTTAATCCAGGTATGGTTCAGAAGTTGACTGTTCAGTTTCCATGAGTTTGTAGGCTTTCTGGGGGTAGCATTGTTGTTGAATTCTAACTTTAATCCATGGTGATCTGATAAGACACAGGTGGTTACTAATATTTTTTTGTAACTGTGTAAGTTAGCTTTGTTACCGAGTATGTGGTCAATTTTCGAGAAGGTTCCATGAGCTGCAGAGAAGAAGGTATATTCTTTCCTCTTCGGGTGGAATAATCTATAGATGTCTGTTAAGTCCATTTGCTTCATTACCTCCATTAATTCTCTAATTTCTCTGTTAGGTTTCTGTTTGATTGACCTGTCCATTGGTGAGAGAGGAGTGTTGAAGTCTCCTACTTTTAGTGTGTGTGGTTTGATGGCTGCCTTGAGTTTTAGTAATGTTTCTTTTACATACGTGGGCGCTTTTATATTCGGGGCATAGATATTCAGGATTGAGACTGCATCCTGATGAATTGTTCCTGTTATGAGTATAAAATGTCCCTCTCCATCTCTTCTGATTGATTTAAGTTTGAAGTCCACTTTGTTAGAAATTAGTATGGCCACACCTGCTTGTTTCTTAGGTCCATTTGCTTGATAAGCCTTTTCCCAGCCCTTTACTCTGAGTAGGTGCCTGTCTTTGTGGTTGAGGTGTGTTTCTTGTAGACAGCAGAACATTGGATCCTGTTTTTGTATCTAATCCCTTAGCCTGTGCCTTTTTATAGGTGAGTTGAGCCCATTGACATTAAGTGATATTAATGACCAGTGGTTGTTAACTCCGGTCACTTTTTTAGTAGTAGGGTTTGTGTGTTTCCCTTCTTTGAGTTGCGCTGGTGAAAGGTCTCTAGATGACTGAGTTATTGTGGGCATTGTTGGACTCGTTGGTTAGTGATTTTCCTTCTATAATTTTCTGTAAGGCTGGATTTGTGGCTACGTATTGTTTGAATTTGTTTTTATCCTGGAAAATTTTGTTTTCTCCATTTATAGTGAACGAAAGTTTGGCTGGATATAGTAGTCTGGGCTTGCATCCATGATCTCTTAGTTTTTGCAGTACATCTATCCAGGACCTTCTGGCTTTCATGGTTTCCATAGAGAAGTCAGGTGTAAGTCTGATAGGTTTACCTTTATAAGTAACTTGGCCTTTTTCCTTTGCGGCTCTTAATATTCTTTCTTTATTCTGTATATTTTGTGTTTTGATTATTATATGGCGAGGGGATGTTTTTTTTTTTTTTGATCCAGCCTATTTGGTGTTCTGTATGCTTCTTGAACCTTCATAGGTACCTCTTTCTTCAGGTTGGGAAAGTTTTCTTCTATAATTTTATTAAGTATATTTTCTGTACCGTTGAGCTGCACTTCTTCTCCTTCTACTCCAATTATTCTTAGGTTTGGTCTTTTTATTGTGTGCCAAATTTCCTGAATGTTTTGTGATAAGAATTTGTTGGTTTTGCTGTTTTCTTTGATCAGTGTGTTTATTTTCCCTATGGTATCTTCAGTGTCTGATAGTCTCTCTTCTATCTCTTGTAATCTGTTGTTAGTACTTGTTTCTGTCATTCCTGTTCGTTTACCCAGATTTTCCATCTCCATTCTTCCCTCGGTTTGTGCTTTCTTCATTGCTTCCATTTCATTCTTCATGTCTTGAACCGCTTCCCTAACCTGTTTGATTGCTTTTTCTTGTTTCTCTTGGTTTTCTTGCGTGTCTTTGAGCAATTTATTCATTTCTTCTACCTTTTTGTTTGTAATCTCTAATTGTTTATGGCAGTTTTTCACCTCCTGTTTAAGGTCCTCTATTATTTTCATATAGTTCACTTTTGAGTCGATTTCTTCTATTTCTTCAGGAGTAGGGTGTACAATTCTTCTTATTTCGGGATCCCTGGTTTCTGGTGGTGTCATGTTGCCTTTCAGATTGTTGGAGGAATTCCTGTATTGGCGCCTTCCCATCTCTTCCTTCAAATGGAGCCAGGAGAGGCCTGGTCTCTTGGTCCAGTCTTTGCTGTGATTGACTCTCAGGGTATATCTCTTCAGTGTAGAAGCAGGAACCGTTCCCGTCCAGATGGGATTCCTCAGCAACCGTCCTGATGGGATTCCTCAGCAACTAAACAGGGCCGCTGGTAGCCCAATGATCCAGGGCCAACAGGATGAATGGAGCAAGTGGGGGGGGGGGGGTGGTATCCAGGAGCGCGCAGGAAGCCTGGCGCCGGAGCTGAAGGTGCCCGGCTCCCTTACAGGGGACCCTGAGGCCTGCCCGGCAGGCAGGTACTCACTGCTCTGGGTGGGTCGCCTTAGTTTAGGAGCTTAAGACTGTAGTTGAGCACTGGTCCTAGCATACAGCAGGGCAGGGTTGGGGAGGGGTGCTGGGGGTGCTCGGTCGTGCGAAAGAAAGACAGCCCTGCAGAAGGAGCTGGGGGAGGGGGTTTGTGCTCTCTTCCGGGACAGCCGCCCCTGGATAGCACACACTCACCCGTCCTGATGGGATTCCTCAGCAACTAAACAGGGCCGCCGGTAGCCCAATGATCCAGGGCCAACAGGATGAATGGAGCAAGTGCTCCACATATTGTTTTAAGAAAGGTTTCTCCCTGATATTTGGACTTGTCTTTTCTTGGCTAGTCTGGAAGCCAGCAAGCCTCAGTGACCAGTATTGTCTCTCCCCAGTTCAGTAACTACCACAACTAGGACATCTGGTGTGGATGCAAGGGCTCTACTGCTAAGTTATTTCTCCAGCCCTCTAGTTAACATTTTTAAGGAGAACATTACAAATTAATTCTCTTTATGATACTGAAATGTAAAATAGTCAGTTATTAGCTATATGCTACATCTAGGAAAATAGACGAAATTAGGAAATATACCAAGTGAGGTAACCCAGACCCAGAAAGACAAATGCTGCATGTTCTCTCTTTTTCGGGGGTCCTCTGAATCATTAGATGAGAATATATGATCTGAAGTAACCTCGGAAACCAGGAAAGAACAATAGTGGGAGGAGGAGGCACTCTAGAGTCGTGCAGAGTAGGACACTATGGCTGTGAAGGGGAAAATCACAAACTAGGTTGGGGATTTAACTGGAAAGCGTGGAGGAAATATAGAGGAAAAAGGATGGAACAATAATTAACACTAAGAATGCTTAACAAAGTCATAAGAGTAATTTTGTTTCATGTACTTAAAATACACATAAACATATGTACTTAAACATACGTATATAGTTTGTGCCATTTTAAGTTCCAATGCTCCCCACAAGGATCATAGACAACCTAACAAAAGCCTAGTGCTAGGAATGGGAAATATCCCTTTCAATTGTTGCTACTGAGAGTAGAAGAGACTCCCAAAACAATGTGGGCTATTGCTGTTGCTTTTGTTTGCCTTCATAACTTGAAGGTATGACCCTGCTGAAGACAGCACACATGTTAGACAGTGGACATGGAGGAACTAAGCTGCTCAAAGACATATTTGCTGGGCGGCGGTTGTGGCTCAGAGGTAAATCACTTGCCTAACATATACCAGGTTTGGGGCATGATTTCTAACAAGAAAGAGACACAGACATACACACAGAGAGATTACTGTCTGCTAAAGACTCTTAGGACTCCTTAGGAAGGAGAAAAAGGAAGGAAACAAATTTGTTACCATTAGTTATATCTTATTGATTTTACATAATTTGTCAGTACATTACCTTGCCTACAAGTTTGAAAGATGCAAAAGAACTAGATACTAAGTGAACATATTTTGGTTATTGAGTAGGCTTCGTAGGAAAGGTCAGAAACTGGGAAACAAACTTAGGTAACTGCATGTGCATGACTCTTGATACCCTGAGAAATATAACTGGAATAGTCTGAATTGGAACAATTTCTGAATTAGGAAAAGACATATTTAGCTAATAAGACAGAGAAATAGAAAACATGCTTATACATTTCCATATCATTCAAAACACTGTACTAACATTGATAACATACTGATTACCTGTCAATTTCAGAGTCAGAGTCTGATGATGTTTGGATTCTTTCAACTCTTCCAGTTCAACCACGATATCTCTCTTCATGACTGCGAGATCTCCATGTACGGTTGTTATGAGCTCTCCCTGAATGGTCATGATTAACTCTCCCAGCATGGTTGTGATGAGCTAGCCCTGTATAGTTAGGATGAGCTCCCACTCTGTGGCCATGATGAGCTAGTTCCATGTGTCTAACAGAAGCTCTCTCAGGACGGTTGTAAGGAATCAGCCTTGTGCAGTTAAGATGAGCTCTCCTTCTATGGTCATGGTGAGCTAGTCCTGCAGGGCTAAGTTGAGCTCTTTCTGCATGGTCTTGATGAGCTATACCTGAGTGGCTAGGATGAGCTCTTCCTGTGTGGCCAAGATGAAACCTACCTGAATGGTCATGATGAGATCTACCTGAATGGTCACGATAGTGTCTATCTGAGTGGTCATGATGAGGTCTACCTGAGTCGTCATGATGGCGTCCATCTGAGTGTTTATGAGGGGGTCTAACTGAGTGGTCATGATGGTGTCCATCTGAGTATTCATGATGGGGTCTAACTGAGCGGTCATGATGTGGTCTATCTGAGTTGACAGGAGTGCTCCTGACATGGCTATAAGATCTTCTGGAGGGGTGGCCATGAGATCTGCTAATGTGGCGGACATGAGATTGGGAGTGGCCATGAAATCTCCCAAAGGAAACTTGATTTCTTTCTATTTGTGGATGTCTCTCTTCTGATTGGTTTCTATTCCACCCTGATCAAAATTCACTGTTGTCATATCTTATCTACAAACTAGCCCAAATACATAATACATATGAAACAGATAGTCCATGATTTGATTAAGTCATAAGGATATTGTTCACAACCCTTGTTTCTCTCCTTCATTACTTTTCCTATCCCTCCCTCCCCCCTTTATTTCTTTGAGACAGAGTCTCACTATATAGTATATAGTATAGGTTAGCCTGGAAGTTGAGATTCTCATGAATACTTCAATAGGCTTGTACCACCACACCTAGCTTCTCGAAACCATTTCTATCAGTGGCTTTCTCCCAGAATTATACTATGACTCATTTTATATACTATTTTCCAGATGCAACTTAAAGACCGAAGTCTCATGTACCATGTCACTTGCACAAAGATGATTAACAAATGTAACATAAAAATATGGAAAATTAGGTGTCTTGTGATTTTTAATAAGAAACAAACTATGTGACTTTATAATTGAGGAGATAGATTGGGGGGGGGAGCAGTCAGGATCTTATTCTGGCCAGGAACTCACTATGTATCCAAGCATAACCTCAAATTTCTGAAACTCCTGCTTTCACCTCAAGTGCTCTGATTAAAGATATGTGCCACAACATCTGGTATTATGTGGTACTGAGGATTGAACCCAGATCTTTATGCATGCTAAGGCAAATATTCTACCAACTGAAGTACTTCCACAGCCCCAAGAGCAATAGAGTATTTAATAATGTTCTTAAAACAACTTCTTAAGATCAAAGAAGAGCATTACAAATTATTCTGTTATTTCCCTGTCCAGGGATCATTCAAAACTACCTTTTAATACAAAAAATACCTAATTTTAAGGAGAAAAACCATATCAAGTGGGAAGTATGCTCTAAAGGAAGCAAAGTGTTGGCTTGATGCAGTGTAAGCAAACTGATCTGGTAATAATTCAGCTTTTCTACCAAAATGGCTGTAGAGTGAAACACCATAAAAGAAAATAATGAAAACGTTGACAAATGTCTAGGATGTCCAAAAGAGTAAATGAATAACATAATATGAACTGTGACAAGAAAGCAAGCTTTAAACTAGCGTATGTTGCTTAGTAAGGAAAATATCCTTATATCTGGCATTACTGTGTCCTGCTATTACACTGTTAAATACTGGAAGTAACTGCTAAATATGAGGAAGGTGCTAGTACAAAGAATATTATATATACACAACTTGAATAAAATAAAAGTATGAAAAAATCCGCTGATTTTTCTGAAGGCTAAATCCATAGCCACTCCCCAGTATTTCTATTGAAAACATGAATAAGTACAGTAGGTAGAATACACATGCTACTTTTTTATTTTAAGTGACTAGTGTTGGGAGAACAGTAGGTCATCATGAAAAACAGGATTGGGGCACATCTCCTGAAGACCCTTTTAACAGAATTTTCAATATTTTCATTAATGTTGATGTAAGGAATATTTTCTGTGCTGGGGTTATAGCTCAGTGGTACAATGCATGTTAAGTATGAGCAGGGCTATCATTTCCAACTGTTGTATTCCTAAGAAATTATTTATATCAAGTTAGGTACTATAAGATTCCTAAATTTAAAAAAAGAAATACTGTTACAAAAGAGTAAATACTTAAGAAAAGAAATAATCATAAAGGTGATATATATATATATATATAACTTCTACTATATATATGTATATATAGTTGTGTATATGTGTCTGTGGTATGTGTGGGTATATGTGCTATGGTGTGCATGTGAAAGTCAGAAGCCAATTTTGTATTAGCCTACTTTTTCCTTCCACTTCTACAACGGTCCTAAAGATTCAACTGGGTTGGATAGGCTTGTGTGGCAAGTACCTTTACCATAATCTTTCCTATTTACAAGCACAAACCTATCACAAATAATTATATAGACAAGGTGTGGTAAGATTATGCCTATAATCCTAGCACTTGAAAGGCTGATGTCACATATGTGTCTCTCCACAAAGGCCAGAAAAGGCATCAAAACCCTTGGAGCTGGAATAACAAGATGGTGTGAGCCACCTGATATTGGTACTCAGAATTGAATTTGGGTTCTCTGGAAGAGCAGCAAGGGCTCTTAACCACAGAGACATCTTTCTAGTCTTGATTTCTGGTTTACACATTCAATTTTTAAGTCTATTTTTACACTGTAACTATACAAAATTGTAGGAGAGACAAACAGTGGTGGCATACACCTTTAATCCCAGCACTCGAGAGACAGAGGCAGGTGGATCAATGTGATTTTGAGGCTACAGAGCAAGTGTCAGGACAGGCTCCAAAGATACACAGAGAAACCCTGTCTCAAAAAAAAGGTTGAAGATAAATTTAGAATGATTATGTAGGATAGATAAACGACACAGTCACCAACAATCTATTTTTTACATTTTTATAAATTCAAAATTCCTAATGAAAATTGAAAATAAAAATAAAATGTTTATTGAAATAGTTGCAGTGATAACAGATTAACTAAAAACATAATATTTAAATTAAATATAGGGTAGTATGAAAAAATATTAAGAAGAAATCCCTGTTATCACCAAAATTTAAAACTATCTTATTATAAAATATGTTAGTTGGGTATAGTGTTTAGAATAAGAGTGGCCCCCATAGGTTCATATATTTAAATGCTTGGTCTGTAGTTATTGGAACTGCTTGGAAAGTGTCTTTGTTAGTGTTTCTATTGCTGTGGAGAGACACCATGATCACAGCAACTCAGGAAAAACATTTAATTGGTGACTGGCTTACAGTTCAGAGGTCAACCATTGTCATCATGGTGGGAAGCATGGTGACACACAGGAAGACATGGTGCTGATAGAAGAAGCCTAGAGTTCTACAACTGGATTGGCAGACAGCAAGAAGAGAGAATCATATTGGGCTTGAACATCTGAAACCTTAAAAAGCCTATCGCATGACACTCTTTCTCTAACAATGTCACAGCTCCTAATAGTGCCACTTCCCATGAGCTCATGGGAGTCATTTTTATTCAAACCACCACAGGAAGAAATAAGAGGCATTGCCTTGTTGAAGATGTGTCACCTGGGGGTGGGGGCTTTGAGGTTTCAAAAGTCAATGCTATTCCCAGTTAGCTTGCTCGCTCTCGTGTTCTCTCTCTCTCTCTCTCTCTCTCTCTCTCTCTCTCTCTCTCTCTCTCTGTTTGTGGATGAGACATAAACTCTTTCTGCTATCCCTCTGGAACCATGAGCTCATGGTGTTTTGTTACAGGAACAGAAAAGTAATTAAGACACTCAACATGTGTGTGGTCCCAGGACTCTGAGAACTGAGGCAGGAGAACCATTACAAGTTCTTTGTCAGCTTAGTTTGTCATATATAGCAAGACCTTGTCTCAAAACAAGCACACACAAGCACACATTTAAAAATGAACAATATTACATTTCAGACTCTTGATTTCTGTTACCTTTGGTGTTGACTTACCAGATGAAGTGGAGGCTGATTTTCTGAAAGTCTTTGTCCAAAAAAATTCATGTTTCTTCCCCTACCACCGCTTCTGAATCCTGCATATTATTTTGACAAAAATTATTTTCTGTATTTACCTCAGTGAATTCAGCAGCTTTCAGAATGAGTTTTTATACAACATTCTTTCAACACCCTCACAGTGTCTGATTTTCTCACTGAATTCCACAACCACTTTTGCCCATCTTATCTAAACTTACTACTTAGAAGGGGCAATCATCATTTTACACACTATTTAAGATTTGATTGTATATAGCACCAAAGTTGATACATATTTGGTTGTATATGGTACAAAATTGGAATTAATTCAAATAAATTGCCAGCATAAAAAGAGAGATGGGAAACTGATGCTTTTTATTAATCATATCAATATTTGTTTCAATTATCTGCTTTGGAAATAGAGATAGCTTAGGAAATATTTATAAAATATGATCTGGGAATATAGCTCAGTTGACAGACTGCTTTCTTAGCATGCACAAAATCGCTGTTTGATATCTAACACAACATAAAACTCAGTGTGCTAACCCATATCTGTAGTATTGGCACTTGACAGGTAGTATTGGCACTTGACAGGTCGAGGCAGGAAAATCAGAAGTTTAACGTTATCCTTGGATACACAGTGAGTGGGAAGCTAGCCTACAGTACATACAATCCTATCTCAGAAAAACAACTTAACTAAAAAAATAAAAATCTCTGAAAAGCTTATGAAGGTCAATTTTAGGTTTTATTGGGAAATACAAGAGAACAGACTTTCTTACCTGTCTTAGCTGTACTGCCCCTACAAAAACTAATCTCTCTCTTTCTCATTAGAGAATGAGCCCCTGAAAGATTCATATGAGGACTACAATAGATTTGGGTAAGCTTTTACAGGCTTGCAATATGTATGGTGTTAAGATGATGCTTAACTGTTGAATACACCAGAGAGACCCTTAATTGTTGAAAATACATCTTTACAGTGACAATCTGTACAGCATTTTTATACTAAAATATGTTCAGTGCTCCAAACAAGGCTCTTAAGGCTCTAGGAGACAGTCTTCATATTCTACCTCATTCTCTTTACCCGTTGACATTCCTTTGTAACAAAATGTGGCTGCTAGAGTGGTTAGCTTATTGATCACGTTTTTTTTTTATTTTAATTAATAAAATTTCAGGTCTCCTGTAGCTTAACATCCCTGTATCGCCTCCTAAAAGTGGAACAACTAGGTGAATCTAAAACAGTTATTGCCTTCATTGTTAATTTTCACCCTGTTCTCCATTAGTAAAGTAACTCATCAATTAAACATTTCTTTCATTTGATCTGGAATAAATTCTTACCAATCCCATACAAGTCCATTTCTGAAAGAAATAAAACATGTAACGCAACATATTAGAACACTGAAAGTTCTAGAATCCGCATGTTACTTTTTACCATGTGTGCTTTTTGAAAATGTACTTTACCTCCCTCCTGGAGATACCTATGGATAAGGACTCGCTCTCTGGAGTTTAGTCTATGTGTGTCATTCTGCCCATTGTATTCCTTTTCAGTGTTAGCGGCTTCAAGATGTCTACAGAATCTAATTTCATCTGCACCAGAAATTACAGGAAAATGAAAAAAATGGAAAAAATCATATGACAATAACTTGTTCTTAGTCAAAAAACTACAGCAAAGTTCACAGTATTTCAGAACATATAGAACAACTGTTAACCCTTAAAAAACTCTAACACTAAAATAGCAATAAATTTGGAAAACCACAGCAACTGCTAACAGAATTACAGGCAGTTGTGAAGCACCTAGCTTCCATGTGGGAACTAAGATCTGGTCCTTGGAAAGAAAGTTAGACCTTTCTTCAAAAATTAATTCTTTGAGCATTTCATACAATCTATTTTGACCATATTCACCCTCTTCCCATGACTCCTCCCAGAACCACCTCCCATTTCCTCCCCTAGTGGTGTAGGAGGTCCTACTACACCCTAGCAATTCAACTTTGAGTCCTCCTATTTTTAAAATGCATCAACTCCAATCTGAGCTGCCCATATATATGTATGTAGCAATCTGCTTGAGTGGGAGTGACATGCTAGGGCTATACCCTTGAAGAAAACTGACTTCCCTCCCGAAGCAGCTATCAATTGCCAATAGAAATTACCCATCTCTCCTCAACATGCTGGGAATTCATCTAGTCTGAGGTACTGTGCATGCTGTCACAATCATTTCTCAAACTCCACAAGACACAGCAAGTTCTAAAAGGAGCCTCATTGAGACTCAGGAAATAAATTACTCAGAAAGTCTTTGAAATTGACCAAACAGATGTATAAGGCCCTCTCACCCAGTGTTATATAAACAGTAGGGACTGCTGGAGACCTGGACTAGATAAGCATAGCTACTGTGAAGCTGTTGAGCTGCCTGCAAGATGGCAATGGGCCCCAGAGTCCCGGCATTCCTGAACTGTCACTGATATTAGAATGGGATTTCCATGATGCAGATGATTTTGAGACATTCCTTCTTCTGTGAGTAATCTCTCATTCATACTTTAATTAGTAACCCCAATAAGCTTACTGGTTCATCAAACTGAACTTCAGTGGTATCTTTATTTTAGTCTGTTGTTGGTTCCCTATATGTGGGGACTATGTTCATGTTTTCCCAGGATTAGGTCACACAGCAATGCATGTGTGTGTAGGTGTACATGTGTGGAGGCCAGAGGACATCCTCATGTGTCTGCCTCACCTTTCACCTTTTTTGAGATAGGGTCTGTTATTTGTTGTGTATGCCAGCCTAGCAGGCCCTTGGAGCTTCTTGGGATTTCTCAGTTTCTGCCTCTCACGTAGCTGTGATTATAGATGTGGGCTATTATACAGAGACATATGTGGATAATGGACATTAATTAACCTATGTTCTTAAGCTGGCAAGGCAAATGTTCTATCCATGGAGTCATCTCCCCAGATATTTTTTTTTCTGTTTGCTTGAGAAAAGTTTTTGTTATGTAGGCCAAGCTGGTCTCAAAGAGCACTAAACTTATCCCAAACTCTTTAATATTGGGGTTATAGACATGTGCCACCACTCTCAGAAAGTTTCTTTAATTAATATAAAAGCTTTTCCACCAAACAGATTCATGACTTCATTTACAGGCATACAAATAAATGAGCAAAAGGCTTTCATGTTATAGTAGTTCAATAGAGAGAACATTTAAACAAGTGCTTTCACCTAGTATTATTTTAGTTTCAGAGAAATTGCATCATTCCTAAGTAAATGCCACTGTAAGACAATTATATGTATTTTCTTGAACAAAACAAGTTAGACATGAGATAATACTTTGTAGTCTGTCACCTACACACTCAGAAAGAGAACACTGACATAGTTAAAGGTTCTCCGTGGTGTTATTTGCCCCAGACAACTTAAGATATCTGATGTTTCAATCAAAATGCTCTCCAACTCAAACTACTCCCTTTAAATTGGAAGTAAAAAATACAAAATTGCTCCCCCAAATATTATGTAATTAAATCTGTTTACTTTTCACCTCACCCATAACTTTATCAAAGACAAGTTCAGTCTTCATGATACCAAGTCAACACAAAAGTAACTCCAGAACTTTAAAAATCCTTTGCTTTTGAATATGTAATACATAGATTTATTTTTCTATCAGCTTGGCCTAATTTCAAGTAATCCTTAAATCCCTAATACTATGAATGAGCAAATACCAAAGCAAGAGTTGAAAATAATAGTGAAGCCATGGAAGAAAAAGTCCACATTTTAAATGGGATGTGAAGTAATAAGGGCGGCGGGGCCGCTTCCCCAGCACCCCAGCCGCCCGCTCACATCCCGATCAACCCATCTCTAATCATCTGTGTATGGCACCCCAAGGTGCGCTTACCTGGGAGATTGTAGCCTATGTCCATCCTGGGTCGGAGCTTCATCCCGGGAGCGGGGCATGGCATCTCTCTGAGGCATCTGCTCCGGAGAGGAGAGCTGTTGAGACTCTGAGCTCACTTCCTCTTCCTCCCAGCATTTTGTTCTGTTTACTCCTCCCACCTATCCTCTAACCAATAAAATGGGCCAGGGCAGTGCCTTTATTAGCCAATGACCTTCCTCCATCATTTCCCCTTTTTCGGTTTAAACAAAAAAAAAAGGCTTTAACATAGCAAAATTACATATAACAAAACAGTTATCAAGTAAAAGTTACAATAATCTTTATCATAACTAAGGAAAACTATAACTATAACTAACTATTCTTAACTCCATCAAAGACTCCAGAAAGATATATTACCTAAGTAAACAAGAACTAAGAAACTTCAAACTCTAGAAATGACAAAGACATCTCGCTGCCTGGACAGTCACCCAAAGTTCTTTTGTACCGTTGGGGCATCCATCTTCAGCCTTTAGGCCCATGGTATCCAGCAGACATTTCCATAAAGCAGGAAAATTCAAAGTCAGTTCAGTCACTATCTGTTGTGTCCTGCAGAATGTCTCGCAGACTCTTTCAAAATGAATCAGGAACCCCGAAAGATCATCTCACCTTAGGCAAGTTCAGTAGTCCTCTCTCTGCGGGTTCTCTGTGTCCAGTTTATGCAATAGTCCAGGCAAGAGCAGTTTCTTGCCCACATGGCTATCAAACTCCATAAGGTGCCTCTTTGATGCCCATCTTCCTCTTGAAGTAGATTGGTGCTGCCAGGAGCAGAGTGTCTCATTGTCATGAAAAATCCTCAGTTATTAAAACATTAAATGTCCTATTCTGTAATCTTTGAAAGACATGAAGAATGTCTATCTAACTGAAATACATCTCTATATATCTAGAAAATCTAACTAACATGACTACAAGCTTTACTATTATCAATGATTATCCATTAACAACCTATATTTCTTAATTATACAGTACATATTTAAATGAACTACACCATCACAATACCTTAATCAAAATCAGAAATACATATACATATAACAAAATTGACCGTAAATCTCAATCTATAAAGCAAAATCTATACTAATGCAAATTATTCATACCTATATCATGTCCCCCTTTAAATGTAAAAGAACGTTTATAAACCATATTTGGGAACATGGGCGCAGTTTTTTCTCTCCAAACTGCTTCCTGCTGAATGGGGGCGTCGTTAATTAGGTCTTTCATGGTATAACCTGTGTGCTAGTTTCTTCTCAGTTGGCAGTTGAGCAAAGCAATTTTCTGAAGATGTTTACACCAACCCTTCAGGAGGGCGTGGTCCATCATACCAAATCGGAATAGAAGAAATGAACAGCGTCTCATCCTCTGTGAAAACAAAATAAGAAACTCCTTTCCAAAGTATCATATCCTTAGATCCAAATTCATAATATCTATGTTGGATTAGTTCAGCAGTATTTATAAATAAATATCTTTTAGCATCTGTTTCTCCTTCCTCAGCATTTAAACAATTCAAAGAGAGCATAATAGCATATAGTATCAAGATTCTCTGTGTATTTTCCATCTTTGTTCGTATTATTTTAACCTCTATTTTGTTTATTTTTACTTTTAACTCTTTGCTTTTTGAGACAGGTTCTCTGTATCTTTGACCTGAAGTAACTCTGTAGACCAGGTTGTCTTTGAACTCTCAGAGATCCGCCTGTCTCTGCCTCCCAGGCATTTGGGATTAAAGGTGTACACTACTACACCTTGAACTCACAGAGATCTGTTTGTCTCTGACTTCTAGGCAGTGGGATTAAAGGCGTGTGCTACCACACACAACAACTCTCTTCCTTTTTTTTTTGTTACTATAAGAACTTTAAATTTTAGTCTGCATATATTTTTAACACACTTCAAACCATTCAGAAATTTTCTCTGTCTTTGAATCTCTCTTTACTGTATATCTCTCTTTTTCTGACCACCACACGAGTCTTTAATTTACCAAGCAATATCAGTAGGATTAAAGGCGTGGCTTTGCCAGCTAGATCCAGTCCATTCCTTAGCTTTCCAGCCTCATGGCTGAGGTACTGGCTGTAGCCAGCAAGCGAGCTTCAGCAGCCTGTGCTAACAAACCGCACAAACCGCCTGCGTAAAAGAGTCAGAGTTTGTCCTGGCAGGACAGCCCAGAAAGCCGGCATTTTTAAATGGCGCAGCTTTTTTCCTGCTACGGCTGAAAACCGAAAAGCATGCATTCAGCTTTTCGTCAACACCATTTAAGTGTTTCGTGGCAGGACCTCTTAATGAGCTGCAGGATTTTGCAGCTGAAGCTGAGTCAGGAAGCCTCTCTTAGATGAGGTGCTTTCTTGCCTCTAGCAGGCAGAGTAGAACCGAGAAATTGCTGCTACCAAGAAACCAGGCACAATGCTTTCATTTTGTTCTAGAATTATTTCCCAAGCTGTCTCAGGCTTTATGTGGAAGCAGTTGCCCCACGTTGGGCGCCATATGAAGTAATAAGGGCGGCGGGGCCGCTTCCCCAGCACCCCAGCCGCCCGCTCACATCCCGATCAACCCATCTCTAATCATCTGTGTATGGCACCCCAAGGTGCGCTTACCTGGGAGATTGTAGCCTATGTCCATCCTGGGTCGGAGCTTCATCCCGGGAGCGGGGCATGGCATCTCTCTGAGGCATCTGCTCCGGAGAGGAGAGCTGTTGAGACTCTGAGCTCACTTCCTCTTCCTCCCAGCATTTTGTTCTGTTTACTCCTCCCACCTATCCTCTAACCAATAAAATG